CTGTTTGGTAGAAATACGTCCAATTCGTCACATTTTACATTTTCAGGGGTGCCTGTAGAAGAAAATTTCACGAGGAAACCAATGGAACCATTTTTAAAATCTCAAAATTTTGATTTAACGGAGTTATAAGCATTTAAAGTTTCCAAATTTTGTCCGAATTCTCCTATTCCCTCGATCCACTGCGCGGCGTTCTCCCTATGGATCGGCCCGGGGTACTCACGACATGGGCCGCGCGAGAATTGAACTGTCACCGACCGATCGACGCCACCTGTCGGATATCAATCAAAACACTGATCGATGGAAACACTGATTAATTCGCTCAGCACGATGGAGCCGTCTATTGGATTAGAAAAAAGAAGGAAGGGAGGGGGGATTTTGGCACTTCAAGTGACGTCACGGAATGTATGATGAATAAACCGTTGCCAGAGTGTGCAACAATAGAAACATAGGGGGAGAGTAAAACAAGGTAGAAGAGGTGATAAAAAGTTGTACGTCAGTGGCGAGGCGTGAATGATCGATTATCGATATCTCCTCGTTTAAAGCTGTGGTAAAGAATCGATTATGAAGGTGTTCGTTGGGAACACCCTGTCTATTGATCCTTACCCATAAGTTTAAATGGTAGATCAATCGATAAATCGCAAAGTATGCTACGCCGCGCCATAGCTGCACGTATACAATTAAGGTATTTACAAACGAGGTGCAATTGAAAACAATTAATAGAATGCCAAAAAAAAAAATAAATAAATAAAAAAATAAAAAAAAATAAAAAATAAAAAAATAAAAAATAAAAAATAAATAAATACAAAAAAAACATGGAAACGAAGGTAAAGTGGTTGGGGCAATTCTAATCATTATTATTTAACACTCTATGTAGGCGTAATTCAAGAATAAATTAAAAAAAAAAAAAAATTCTAATCATCGAAAGATTCTTCCTTTTCAATTTAAGTAATTTTTAAGTAGTAACTCCACAAAATTTGACGTCCCTCAGTCCAAAGATTAGCAAATGATCCGTTAAAGTATTCTACTGCCGTCCGATTCAAAAACGTCTTGCCTTCATTCTAGATTCCTTCAATTTTTTTCTAACAAAATGCCCTCTTACGGAAAATTCCACGATCTTTCATCTTTAAGAATTCGCCTATATCTGAGGCAAATCACTAAGAACACAAACTGACAAAATTAAGCACGGCATTGATGAGGTTCTCTCTTAATTGAATATAACGTGCTGAAATAAAATCAGAATTTTTGAATAGAGTCAAGGCACTTTTGCTCTAGCAGTCTATCAAATACGCGTTTTCTCGTAAATAATTTTGTCAATTCATACACCATCCATAGAGCTGTCAAATGAGACGTCAAAGAAATACCGACAAAAAAGTGAAGTTGATTAAACATTCTAGATGTAAAAAAAGTGTGCGAGAACTTATAAAATGCTGAATTACCCGCTACCATAGTTAAAACTAACTGCTGTGACGGGTAATTCACCATTTTTCAAGTTCTCGCACACATTTTTTTACATCTAGAATGTTAAATCAACTTCCCTTTTTTGTCGGTGATACTAATATTCACACAGCAATGGATTAGGAGATCCGGGATCTCTCAAATTTCTGCGTAGATAAACCATTTATGCATACGTTTCAAATGGGTAGCTAGGTGGAGAAACCACATAAGTACAATTTTTGCTTATTCAAAATACACGTTTTTAAAGTATCAAAATCACATGGAGCTCTATGGCGGAAAGAAAATTCAATTTCGCTACTTGATGTTTAAAAATTCGAGATAAGTACTGAATTTTTCAGAGGTTATTTTATGACTAGTTTTAATTGAAACCATTAATACTTCAATTTTTCTTTTTAAGCTGCAGTCATTTGTCTGTCCCAAGCCCCTCGATAGATGCAACTGAAACTGTAGTCATAGAAAGTCGGAAAATTTGATGACTAATATCGGGCAACATCGTTTTGGAGTGATTCTATTTGCGCGTGAGTTTGGGGTCCCGAAAGACGTGTCATGTCGGTCCGCGCTTGTGCAATTCAGGACTCCAGTTGCGGTTTGCCCCCTCTGTTGCCATCGCTTATTATATTAAAAAAGTGTACTTATTTGGCCTATTTGTCAGACGATTCACTCGAATATTTAAAAAATACCACTCAATTTAGCAAAGAGTGACAGAAAACCAGCTCCCTAGTACCAAGAAGGGCTATAGTAGTGATTGAATTGTTGAATGTTTCCTTACAGCGCAACCCCTAAATCACAATTCGTCGCTTCACCGACGTAAGGACCTTACCTCATTTCCGCATCAAACGTTACTCAAACCTATGGAAAAAGATCGATCAGCAGGGTGTTCGCAGCGAACACTTTAGAAATCGATTCTTTGCCGTAGCTTCAAATGGTGAGATATCGATAATCGATCATTCACGCCACGCCACTGATAACGGGGGTCTGAAAATCAACCCCTAAACGAGACATGAGTGTTTACAATTACCATTAATTAAATGGCCAAAATACAAATGACCGTCAATTTTCATATTTTAACTCTAGTTTGATCCGTGTCAGAACGTTTTACTTGTTAATATCTCGTTAGGAGTTTATTACCGAACTACTCGTTGTGTGAAACGTTTTCCACAGAGACGAATACAACGAGTTGGCAATATTGGTTTTTGTCTATTTAAACCTGTGTTGAATAATTGATTCTTGTCGGAGCACCGCACAGTGAATCGAGTCAATGGAAGAAGTCGGACAAAATTTGGAAACTGTAAACGCTTATAACTTCGTTTTTACAAAATTTTGAGTTTCTAAAAGTAGTTTCATTGGTTTCCTTGGGAAATTTTCTTCTGATAGCACCCCTCACAATTTAAAATGTGACGAAGTAAACTTAAAAATTTGTAGTTTTAGTCAAAAATTTCACGTCCGACCTCTCTAATTGACTCAATCCACTGTGCAGCGGGTCCCTCCGAGAATCGATACATTTCCATAGGTTTTAATAGAGAAGAAGCAATGTCGCCAACTTCCTGGATCCGTCGATGGTTTTCCACTTGAGATTTTGAAGTGAAAAATGTGACAATTTTCTTTGGTTCAGACCTCGTCTAGTGGCCCGTATTTAAACCACCACTAAGTCATCACAACAACCTCGCACAAATCGTCATTTCCCGGATGAAGGAACGTAACTCCACCAGTGGCGTGGCGTGCTTTGCGATCGATCGATATTCCCCCATTTAAAGCTGTGGTAAATAATCGATTATGAAGGTGTTCGCTGCGAACACCCTGTTTATCGATACTTTTCCATAGGTTTAAATGGTCGATCAATCGATATATGAACCTGTGCAGTTTATTTCTGAAATTTTACTGATTTTTGCATGAGATCAGATGAAAAATCAGTGAAATTTCCAGCTAGACATTCCCAAAATTCTTGCGGTAAAAATGCAATTTACAAGGGGGAATTTGGCAACATCGAAATTATTTACGTTCTCTCAATATACGGCAACATCAACAAAACTATCCAATCTGCTAACATACATGTGTTTAAATGGGAAATGCCGGCAGATGACGTCACTAGGCGGTGTATTTTTTCACTTTCCAATACATTTCTATACTATTTCCCATTTCAGAAACAAAGTACGAATATAATTGCAAAATTAGATTTCCAAGCACTCTCAGATGAAGCGATAACAAATTTGCATACAAATTTTCAATTTCAGAATGCACCGTTGTTTTCGAATCACCCGGTGCGAGAATTAGCAATTCCCTTTTCAATGTCCTCTTGCGGCTGCGGCACTGTCCAATTAGTCACCAAACATGCAGCGTGACTCGCCCGACGCATCCAGACAACCGCCACGCTCAACAAGAACCTCCCAACTACCATAGAAATCCAACTCCTGATATACGCGGTTCTTCCCCAACACGGCCGTCAATGGGCCGCGTCCCGTCGCGACGCGGAGCAGCGGGCGCTTCACCTCAATCCTCTTCCCAGCTTTTATTTTTCAGGCAAGCACGCGGCTCCTGTAATCCCGGTCCCTCGTCACTGACCTGACACAAACAGAGCAATTAGCTCCCATTTAGGGCCGCTTAATCCTAATATGCGATTGCCTCGTGTAACGGCTCTATTCTGACGGTGACCCGATTCCGCTTTCCGAATTGACGGGCGTAAAATTGCGCATGCGCTTTGCGCAGCCCCTCGCACGAGTGAGTGCGGTTTCCGCGTCGGGCCGAGTGCCCGGCACTTGGATTTCATGGCGCTCCCAGCTTTCACCCTTAAAAATATGGCCCGGGCCACGAGCCGATTTGATGGGTGCTTTTTATGACTCTATCGAGCGATGTAATGGAACGTGGCTCTTCGGCGCAGGTGACTCTCGCGGCGGGACTGTCCGGGAAGATTTGGCCTAATCTGAATGACAGCTCAAACGTGCTTATTGATTTAGAGAAAAAAAAGAGAGGCAAAGTCTCGCTTACACTGAAAAAAAAAAGATGGGTAGAATTTACCATTCCTTCACGCTGTATTTCACACAGCGTCAATTCAGGGTCAATTCTGCCAGAAGAAAGGTAAATGTTACTATATACCGGTACAGGTACTGGGCAGGGTCCTCTGGCAGAATCGACTTGAGGATTAATAGAATTTACCATTTTTTCACGCTGTGCTAAATACAGCGTGAAGGAATGGTAAATTCTACCGCAATCTTTTTTTTCAGTGTTTGAGAAAAGGTTAGAAAAGCTCAGGTTTCTCCTCAACCCCTCCGCAGTAGATTGCCTAAATGGACTGAGTTAAGCAGAAAGGAACCAACGCACATTTTGGAAAAAATTGAGTTATGAGTGGTTTTGAACTCAACCACTGCTCTACTATCTATCACCAAAAATTCAAAGTTTTTGTTGGAGCAAATTTTGTAGAAATTGAACTTGAAGTTTATCTTTTGCATTGAGTCTTATGCAGGAGCCAAACTTTAAACCTCTTTTTCTCGGTTCGATCCCGATGTGGCTTGGTTCCTTTCTGTTTAACTCCGTCCAAATAAGGATATTACCTGAGGGTTGGCCGTTGTTGGCTCTGGTGCCTTTGGAGAGCTTGGTGGAGAGGCAGGAGCGTATGGATAGACATAGGTTGGTGCCTTCGTAGGAGACGCAGCAGGAGCCTGTTTTCCAACAGGGAGCAGGAATATAGGTCCGTTGGGTTTAGCGCCAGACGCCGGGTACGGGGCGGACTTGTCTGCGCAGACCGTTGCGATCAGAGCAAAAGTACAGACAATAAACACCTGAAATTGTTATCAACATTTTTTAATAACGATCCACGGAATAGAATGGGAGTTGATTTAAAATCGTGGATGTTAAAGGTTGTACCAGCAGTCTCGCGCTGTTAATTTTCAATCCTAAAATTGCTAAATTAACTTTCCAAGTACTTTTGAGGTGAGAGAGACAAGCCGTGCAATTTCTGTTACATCTAGGATGTTTATGTATTGCTTGTATTGTGTAGAAAAGTAGATAAAAATAATTTTAGTGCTCGTAACATTAAAGATAATAGATACCTTCTTTCTTACGTCAGGCATAAGGTTTGTCTCCGCCATGAAATTTCTCGAAATTACTTCTCTAAAAAGTCACACACTACCAAAATTAAAAATTTATTTGCCATATTTTACGTCAGAGTCTTAAATTATTCTTGTCGTTTATAGTAGAATTGAACATTTCTTCATCGCTGGAAGTTTCATAAATAATGTTCAATTTCTTAAATCCACGTGTTCTATTTTTACTCAACCATTATTTTTTATTTAAATGATAAGCAGTTTTATTTAAGGGTTACCTCTCATATTTTTACGAATTTTCCATGACAGATATTATAAGACGAATTTTAAAACCGTATTGACTTGAAACCACTTTGAGAATATTTTTAGAGAATTTTATGCTTGAGTCAATTTCAAGGAAATTCCAATCCAAGACAAGTTTAATGGGGTCATTAAAATTCCAGCCTCTGGAAGAGCACTCAAATCCGATGTTTTCGTAAGTTTACGGTGGCTATGCATTGTGCATACTTAAAAAGTCCTGTGATTATTTCTCCTAGGAAATTGACACACTATTTATTTGATGCACTGATGCAACTATACCTACTCCATGAATATCTCTATTGCATTTATGGAAAAATGAAGGCAATGGTTCTATTTTGATCGCGCAAACGGTCTGATGAGTGCCGTCACCTTAGTCGTTTGCAATTTTTTTTTTCTTTTTTTCACACTGATAACATGCAGTAATCTTTTCCTCAGACAGTTTTTTGTTGGAATGGAGGACTCCATCCTCCTTTAATTTATTTAAGAAATGAGAATGGCTCGTCTAAAGTTTTCAAAGTAAGTGGAACAGGGAAAGTAAGTTACATTTTCAAACTATTCAGTCACGACTTACAAGTGCCTTGACGTTACTTAATACTTTACTTTCCTCTTCAGAAGAAATAAAACCTACAAGTATGAAAAAACTTCCAAATCACAAGTTAATGAACAATAACTGCGCGAGTTAGAATAATCGCGGCTATTACATTGCGATCGGTCAGCGCAAAGCGCATATTAGAGCCTGCAAGACTGCAGGAATACTACATGCATTGCGCGTAGCGCGGCCGCGGCCGGCCGATACCCGGCGCAGATTAGCGCCTACTAGACTGCATGAATACTTCACGCATTGCGCGTAGTGATTACAGTGTTCAAAATAAGGACTGAAATTTCATTTCTTATATTAAGTCTTGTGAAAGAAAAACATCTCAAACCTTTTTTTTTCCCCTTTTAACGTAAGGCGTCTACATACCTCTCCGGTAAACTCATTATTCGTTCTGTACGAACAATCTACAATATAAATACAACACAACAATCAGGACATTGCGAAACTCATTCCGCCTTCACCCTGTTTTAGATAATCATTTCTAAATTTATTTAATACTGCATACCTACATGGTTAGTGAATTGCAAGTTTTGGTACTTTAATTGCTGTTTCAGGCGAATGGTAATTAGTAAATAACCACTAAGATGCTGTCATGAAACTACGACGCTAAGATTAGTTAAGAAAAATCTTTCACCAAATACCTCCTAATCTTAAAAATATATCACCTATACGTAATAATAAAAGTTAAAGCCGAGCTTACCTTCATTTTTGAATAATCCAATCAAACGAAACACTACACACACAACAGTTGGTTGATAGCAAGTAAAAGAGTAGCCGGACTGTGTGGGGTGTCATCCTTATATACTTTCATTTTTGATTTCGTCCTTTGCAGATGTCACGTTTGATGGGCACGCACTCCTGACCCGGTGTCCACTGCCAGGAACGTAACGTGATCCATAATAATTGACCGGCGGGCCCTCTATTACCACAGGCTTGTGGGTGGCGCCTTTAATCGTAGTTTAATCACCTTTGCACCTTGCTTCCAACAACTGCGGGGAATGGAGGTAAGACATTTTTTTAAAATTCATCATTCAAAATAAGCCAGACTGAAATAAATGAAAATGATACAAAATAATAACCCAAAAAATTTAATGAAACAAACACAAGGAAATGGGAAACCAAGGCTAAAACATACATCATACCAGGAACGTTACGCAGTGGTTTCAATGTTCTCCTTCTCCACTAGGAAACAAAAATATGTATAATGACTCTGTGATAACCACTCTTTTTTATTTTCACTGATGGGGGATGAAACAATTTCGGAATGTCCTACGCATTCTGTTTGCTTTTAGCCTTGGTTTCCAATTTTCTTGTGTTTTGTTTCGTTAAAATAATAAAATTATGTGTTATTAACTTTTTGGAGAATAATTAGACTACTTTTTAAAATAATGTGTAGAAATATTTTTGATATATCACAAAAAACAAATGGTAGCGACTCCTAGACTGTCTTGTCATACATATTCCTCAGGGAACTCAATTGTGTCAAAACAAGTTGCGCGAGGTTTAGTTCCATGGAAAAGGTCCGGTAATGGTAATGAGGTTCATATTATTAAGTTAAGTTGACGTATCCTTTTCTGCCGGACACTTAGGAGCTCAGAACTAGAGAGATATTAGCATTTAAAAAAGTTTTCTCAAAGTATTGCGTCTGCTTGCATTTCTATACTGCACATTCGTTTCCCTCTATGGGATTAGATTATATTTGAGCATGATGATTTCATATTTGTGATGCCATTATGGTATCATTGTCATGTCATTATGATGAACGTAGTATTATAATGGTTTTAAACATGATGATATCATATTAAAGATGTCATAATGATATCGATTTGATATCATATTGATTTAATTTCGTCAAATGATTAGATCAACATCACCTGGAAATATTTTCATTATTATATCCACAATTATGTTACCAATTTTTTCAATGCTTCGTCGATTTCAGCCATCTAATCGGCCAATTTCTCGTGAAGAGCTGACGAAGGCGATTTCTTCTCTCCTTTCGTTGTTTGATTTTCTCATCCCAGATCTATGAAGGCTGAATACCGTTGGAGAGTCTTAAACGGGGGTCTGTTGACACCTCAATCAAGATAAAGGTGCAAGGAAAATAAAAACGCCTTCAACTCTTTGAGTATACAACATGCACTCCAGCGTCAAGCAACTCTAGAGGAGGGCTCGGGGAATTTTCCTAGCTTTGAAAAGGGGTCCAGAGCGGGGCCTTCCGCGAAGAATTTGGACAAATTGAGTCGTCTCAGGAGCAATTGGACTGCATTTTGCAATTTGGAACTATGAATTCTGGCTCATCTGAAAAACACTTATGTTCATAGGTAAACTAATGGCACATACGTTGTTTTTAAACCGGGCCGGAATTTATACGTCCAAATTGCAAAATGCAGTCCAATTCTGAGCTGTTCCCGCCAAAAAGTTGAACCAATTACAATTCCCAACATGAAAAATATACTACGAACTTACTTACCAAAATGCCTCACACTCCTTGCGAGGAGCCAAGTAGATTTCTACAACCCCCCCCCCCCCCCCCCCCCCNTCGCCCATGGCTGTATCCCAAGAACGCAGAAACACGTAATTTGACGTATTTCTGCTAGGCGGAACTAGAGACTAGTGGGAAAGATGGGGTGTGCTCGCGGTGAACTACATAAGAAACAATGGAAATGGGTGTGATTCCTATCAGGGAAATTGAAAAACGGGATTTTACATTCTGCTGAACAGAAGTAAGCGTCAAGTGTATGCTAACTCATGAGCCTTGCGCATGTGCCAACAGCGTTGAAGACCAGGCTCATGAGTTGAGGAGCCCCATCCCTGATTCCGATCCGAATCTGTCGCCGCTGACGTCACTGGCGCTTTATACTTCCCATTCACTCTTATGACCCTCAACCAACGAGCACACCCCTTCTTTCCCACCTGATTCTAATTCCATTTGAACGTATTTCTATCAAACGGAACTATGTGCATTATGACGTGAGCCCTGTTATGCACACATTTTTATGGGTCCCAGGGCTCATGTCTTAATGCACATAGTTCCGTTTAGCAGAGTTACGTCCAATTATTCAAATCTCTCGACGCGGATCGATCTATTCTGCGTATTGACGTCCAATTGGCCGAGAATGACGTCACGGCGAGGCGGATCGTCCGAGGTCCGAGGCTCGGCTAATGGAAACGAAAGCACAATGAAAGGCGTTGCACAAGCCGCAACCCGTAATACAGCTGGAAGAATGCGTCCAGTGAAATATTATAAGCAGATTGAATAACCGCGACACACGGGTCTGTTTTAACTGTCGCGTCGCCGTCATCAGCCGAACGCGGGTGAAGGTCTATTGTTGACGTGAGCCGCCTCCTAACTGATTTTCTGATCTGCCCGATCCGATGACCGCATTGCCGGCCTCATCAAAAAACCAAAATCCCCATCAAACTGATCACTGTCTGTTCACGGAAAAAAGTGTTGAGGGCTATCCCCTAAACTTATGGCACTACCCCAATTTTTGGGAAGATATATATGCATTTTTAATAGACTGCGGTAGTATCGCAACGAAATTTGAGGTAGTACCGAAACATTTGGGTTAGTATTAATTGGAAATGCCCTTTTCATCCAACAGCTCCTAGTTCCTTTTCCCGTGTAGATTTTTATGAATGATATTGACCCTCATATCACCAATAGGCAGACATCCTACCAGCAATGACGTATAAAAAGCATTTTTCAAAAATTCTTAAAAAACGATTAAAAATTACTTTGCTGGAAACACTTTTGGATCTCATTTTAGGTAAGTCCGGAAAAATGTAAGTAAAAAAAGTCTTTCAAGAAAAATTACTGTTATTTTAATATAGAGTATTACATTTTTTCAAACATTTTCAGTGTTAAAATACTACAGTAGATATTTTAAAAGTTTTTCACACTTTTGGTACTTAAATTTTATCTCTTGTAGATTTTACTCAAGAAGTATCTAAAAAGAGTTTCTTGAAATGAACATTTTATCAAGGAACCGGAGGTCAGTACATTCATCCCGTACTTTGTGCTTTATATTTGAAGAAAGTTTACGAAAGGCTTTTTTTCAATACTTTCATAAATTCGAAATTTCGTCCATAAGCTCGCAACTATGGAACCAGGTTGTCCGCTAATTGAGTCGCGTTCGATGCAATATTGAGCGGAGATTATTCAAATGAATACCCACAGACCTGTACGCTAGACTGACGTGCTTCAGAAAAAACACAAATCTGCATAGGGTATCTCTTTGGAGTTACATTGTTCCTCCTCTGCACGGCAGCTTAAAACGGGAAAGCTATACACGTGTAGACAGAAGAGCCGGTTCCTGAGCTCGTAGTAAATGCCGATTCATTTCTCATTGTTAAAGGAGATTGAGAGATGCCCCTTTTCATATCAGGAAGCGACTGGACCTAAATTATTTTGAAGGTGCGTGAGTGGTAAAGCTTTTGAACGGGTATTTGTGGGTAATGCAGGGGTGAGTCATCAATTAGGAACATGTAATATCCATGATATCATAGTATTTGACCTTTGAACTTACATTGGGAGGGAGGAGTAATGCCTTCCCCCTTATTCCTTCCTATTAAAATATCTGAATTTGGATAAAAAAAAACCTATATTAAAATTATGCATTTCAGTGTAGAGCTTCGTGGAAAAATTACATGTGCCAATCCGCAGTCTACATGCACATTTTTTTGTTTTTGTTGTAAGTTAAAAAAAAAAAATCTAAATTAAAAATCGACTAATATTATAGGCTACCAGACAAAGTATGAATAAATCACTATAATCATGCAGATTGTTTCCTTCCTTTTCTCAATCTTTACTCAAACTTTCACATCTAGTGTTATTATAAAACATATTTTCTCATCAAAGAGATTAACCAATCTTTCAACTGTACGCGCCATTGAATTTTAAGCTGGTCAGATATGAAGTTAAGAAACATAGGTGAAATATTCTAAATCCTGTTTCAGACGAGGAAGATATTGAAATCACACAAGAATCTATAAATCCCGATTTCCATTCTTTCCTCTGAAATATGAGTATCCTCTTTTTGAGAGGTTAAAGTACTCGCTGGAATGTTTTAATCTTCCGACCAACGAGCTCTTGCATAACAACTCAAGTCCAAGGTGTAAGTGAAGTAATCAAATGTAGCTCAAGTGCCAACAAATTCAATTGCTAAGGAATCACCTCCTGCATTGAGTAGCAAGTAAGTTAGAGTAGGTCAGGATTCGTACACAGTACCCAAGTTATGCATGAATTGGTATATAACACTCATTACATTTTCCCCGCCTTTTTTTCCTAATTTTTTCTTTCTAAAATTCGGAGTCAAGTCTCGTTGTGGACTGTGCGTGTTACACTTCAACCGCATGTTCGTGTTTGTTGCAAATTGCAGAATATAATCATACGCAAAAAAATAAAAAGTCTTACACAATAAGCATGTGTTTTTATGGATGGGGGATCTAAAAATTTCACATTCTGATAAAATGACCGAATTGAGCTTAACTTTGCTGAATATTTGTACGTAATTTTTTTTCTCTCTCTCTATGATTATAATTATCTCGTTGTAAAATTGAGTTGGTAAACTTTACCAGAAGAAGATTTCACGAGTGAGTATTAGATAGTGGTGTCAACTCGCAAAATCGCCACACTGAAAAAAAATTATCGGCATTTTTACCAAGGTCCGTTGGTACCTTTACCATCTCACTTTTTTACCAATTATTGGTCATTTTACCAAGACAGACTGTTGAGCTTACCTAAAAACCGGTATTTTTACTGTTTTTCTCAGGTAAGAATACCACTTTTATTGGTAATCAATTCCCGGTAACTTTGCCATTTCATCTCGGTAATTCTACCACAGTCGATAAACAAATATTGGCGTTTTTACCGGGGTCCAGTAGAAGTACCGAGAAAGTCAATAATTTTACCGAGATTTCTCGGTAAAATTACCAATTCCATAAATGGTAATAATACCAAGAAAAAACTGGGATCAAATAGAATCCTGAATTCTTGGTAATTTAACCCTTTTCTTAGTAAAAACACCGAGATTTTTTTTTCAGTGTGTCAACTCGCAAAATCGCCACCGAGCTGGAGTATGCCACAATATGTGCCGCACACAGCGACCTTTGCGCAACCCAATGTGCTCGTAGATTAGTAAAGTAATATAAAAGAAAGAAAAAATGAACTACGCGGAGAAAAATTTCGTAAGCTGCTCCCGATAGTGCATTATTCGTCAATGTTAGGTCCGGACCATAAACGAATCAACCCGTCATTAACTTTTCGGAGGACCAAGTTCAAACGCACTCGAGTGACGGGTGCCAGCTGCTTCAACTTTGAGACGTCGCTCAAACGGACAAGTCGTCGCCCTCTTGACACAAGGGCGTAACTACACTTCCCAATGAACCCTGTCGTCCATATAATCCAATGCTATCTCAGGCTCATTTCAAATAGTAGTTACGCCATTTCGTCAGCCAAGGGGCGAAGTTTCAAGGCTAGCACTCGCCCAATATTTTGGCATGAATGCATCGCAAGTTCAATGAACATGAGCGCATTTGATCGATGCCGCTCACGTGGTCCAATGATGAATGGCTTTTTACCGGACTGCAGTCGATTTGGACTGCAATAACCTGGAGTGAAACGACAGAAATACGAGCTGTATTTCAATTGAAATATTCGTTGTTTAAAAGGGGCATGACCTTGACAAATTGAGGAGCTTGGGACTTTGAGCTTGGAGAGCTTGGGAGCTTTCAATTTTCTCTTTCTCTCAGATCCCAGCCGCCACTATGTAGGGCTCAGGTTTTTTATCGTTTTTTCTTTTAAATTTTTATTCTTTCCGACTGAAAATGACTCAGTTTTGAGTCGAAACGTCTCGGGTTTCATTAATTGCGTATTTTTAGCCTTGTTTCCCGTTTTTCACCCTTGTTTTTCCACTGGAGCTTGGGACGCGAGGCGCATAATGTAGTTTCTCCTATTTTGAGGGATACGGGTTTGAAGTTCCGAAAATATATGTATCCTTATGATTAAAAGAAAGTTCCAACTGACTTTTTGATACTTAAAAATTAGAATTTGAGAGAAAATTGTTCACAGAATATGCATTAATACTAGTTTCCCTTGAAATCATTAATATTTCAAACTGCATATTGAAACTACACTTATGCGCCTTATCCTCCAAAGCTACTTTTGAATGAGATGGTTTTAATTGGAGAGAATAACATTGGAAAAAAAGTTCGGTTTTGTGAACTGAAAATTTGGTATTTTATATCACCACAACTTTTCGATTTTTTTAAACCGAACTTTTGAAGTAAAATGTATTAATAAAAGATGTTCGATTACATGAACCGGGCGTTCAATTACCTTCACGATCTGAAAGCTCGATTTGACAAACCGGAATGTTGGAGTAATAGATCACCGATCGCTCAGTTCATATGACCTAACTTCTTTTTCAGTAAGGTCTTGTAATAAACTACGCGTAATCATTATAAGCCTACCGACAAGTCAAATCGATGATTCTGAGGCAAGCAGTAACGTAAGACATCTTTTCCTCAAACTTTGGGTCCTAAAACGGGCTCTAAATTATCCGTAGCTTGAATTACATATCTGGTTGGTTTTTATTCTGACCCTTCAGCGGGGGAAAACAATAAATAAATATTAAAACATGTTCAGATGCACGCTCTAATTTTTACTGAGGTGACCATGTCATGAAAAGACTTCGCCACGCGTTCGTCGTTTTTACATCAGAGAAGAGGAAGTGTCAATTTTTTGTGCGTAACCTCCAACAGGTACCATTCTTTAAGAGAAAATCCACATTCTTTCAAGGATAAAGAAAATAGGCTTATTTTTTTAACATTAATTCGTATATTTTGATTTACTTAAGTTTATATAGGAGCCTCCTACAAAAGGTAACTATGGTATATTTTACGCATGCTTATAATATTTACAATACTTACAAAATATTTTTTTGCGCAGGTACACACTCAAGAAAAAAAGATAAAAGAAAGAAATAAGAAGAAAGAAAAAGAAGATAGAAGCGAAAGAAAGAGAGAGAGAGAGGAAAGAAGAGAAAATAAAAAAGAAATAAAAAAGAGAAGAGAAACGAAGAAAAGGTATACAAGAAAATAATTAAAGATGGTAAACTTGAAAAACCTGAATTTGATCTACAGTCGAGGATGTAATTAGTATAGGGAGTAAATAAATCATTACATTTGAGCAACGGATTCATTTTTTGATGACTTAACCAAAATGAATTAGTCTCTAATCCTCATTAACGGGAGCTATTACAAACTGTTGAAAAAAAGTGAGAGACGCAAAATTTTAAGACAAATTAAGAACGTATCGAATTAATATAGAGTTGATCTACCTTTGGTCAACCACTCATCTTGAAAAAAATATAGCTTAAACAGAGCAGATTACAGTAAGTAAAAATGATTTAAACTCTTTTTTACTGAGGAGGGCAGGGTCTGATGTTTTAATTAATTGTGGAGTGTTAACTCAACAATCATCTTAATTTCAGCACATCCAAAAGATATCTTATAGCCAATTTTCGGAGCCAAACGTTTTAGGAAAGCTCCTCTGACATGTTTATCACCCAAGTTTCCCGTATGATTACTAGAAAATACCGATAAGTTCCACATCTTCCAATTTTGACCATTATAATTATATACCCGCATGCAGTTCAAATAAGATAGTCAACAATCTTAAAACGCAATCTGAGAAAAAGTATCATTCGTGCCAGGTTTTATTGATCCAATTAATTTGTAGCTAGTTCACCCGTGTCGGTCAGTTGATACCCATGATATGGGTGTTTGTGTGGTCAGTTGTATTTGCTCCTTTTTATAAAGTCTCTCATTTTTAATCAAGTAACAAAATTGGCTAAAATTCTGGGGAAAATAAAAATATTCTTAAAAAAACATTAAATGAATAGAACACTTCATGTGAAGAGTCTGATCGGTTGGAAATGATATTAATGGTGCTTAGTTGGCAGTGAGTGTTTCTTATTATTATTAACATTCCGTAGACATTGGTGTCGGTGTTTCACAGGATTGTGGAATTTCAATCGAGTCAGTTACAACTCGATCACATTTCACAGTTACAAATATTGTCACCCTTTTTATTTACGTTTGCTGGAAAAATGTGCTATCTTAATTAGCAGCTATTTAAAATAGGTGCTAACACTCTTACACATATCGCATCACCCCCCGTTATCATCCAATTCACACATTTGAGTGTAATTGATTAATTACCGTGGCACGTGATAAAACGTGTGATGAGACGTGTGATAAAACTGTGCTAACCACGAGAAGCGATGATAAAATTATTGCGTGGCAGTGGGCGTTGCCTTATAGTTCCCGGTTTTTTATGGCATCTGCTTTACACTAAATGTGACAAGCTACAGGTCAAATCAAGCAATTCGTTGATTTTTCCTAACATCCGGTCTGATTATTTGACTTGACATTTGACTGAATGACCAAATAATCGGCCGACTGCAGGATGTGTTTTAGGTGAATGTACATTGTACAGGCAAATGTTTCTCCTCTAGAATAAATGACATTCTATACCTAAAACCGCAATTTCATGCGCAACCCCTTGAAAATTGTTGAAATTTCATGGACAATGAAGTTTCACTTTTCTACAAAATCAGATTTTATGAAAAGTCATTTTGCATCCTAGGGCAAGTGTCGATTTCTAATTTTTTCGTAGGCCTGTACATCTGACGGATTGCTTGATTTGACCAAGTAGCTCGTGTGGTGTACACATGGAAAAAAGAGGTGCTGTAGTCACATCTTGGATGTTAAACAAATGTGCGACAACTCTTGGATGTTGTCATTACCACTCTGGCTGTAAAAGTAACATCCTAGGATGTTAATTTTACATCCTATCATGCTACGTTAACTGTCAGAGTATAGCAACATCCAAGATTTGTCGCACATTTTTTTTAACAACCGTAACATCCGAGATGTTACTATAGCATCTTTTTTTTCGGTGCAGCAATTTTCATGCGATTTCAGATGAGCGTTAAATTGGATTCAATAGCGAGGTCTAGGAAGATGTCCATCCTCGTATCTGATCTTGGGCCTGTAGCCACTGGCATCGGCTGTGTATTCGACTATCTGTTTCCTACCGTCAGGGAGCAGCACTGAGTAGGAGCCCCACGTCGTGTCCCCGTTGCGTCCCTCCTTGTGCCCAAAATCGCTCGCCGAGTCGTAGTCTTCGATCTTGTACGAGAATTCGTAGTAAGCCGGAGCCTGGAACCAAGTCAATTCAAGAGCCACTTAGAGAGCTAAGTATAAATATATGTCGAAGGAAATCAGTCAAATCAGGCATTTTATCAAATGCATAGGCCGGTAGCCAAATTCAGTATTGACATTTTACGGAATTATGTAAACTTATGGCGAGAAGTTCACAGGTTTTCAATATTTTGGGAAGAATAACTTTTCAAATCCGCCAATTCTCCTTGTTCCTTCCTTTTTACGTGCCTTTAGTACATTTAAATGTTATAATTTTAAAAATCCTATGTTTTATATCGACGTGCTGAAAATTTCATGATAAATGTGCATTCAGGACCTTAAAATCATTTAAAATACTAGTGTATGCTGCATATTTTTACAGAAAATTCTTTTTTACAGGAGCAACATATTGTTTGTCCAAAATTAGGGTAAAAAATCAAAATTTCAATCCAAATAAGAATATTTGACTATGCTTAGATATTTGACAAAATGCCTGATATGACTATTTGCCTATGACATTTACAAAAAAGTCGCTCCTACAACGCATTCTATCTTTCTGCGACACCCAAACGTCACATGTGCCTATCATCCCAAAGGCCATCTCATAAGACGTCCGCGCCTTTTCCCAGATGGTACCCAGTGCATAACTTATATTAAGTAAGGAGGTAAGTATAAATTTGAAAGAAAAGTACGTTTGTAAACGCGTCCACAGCGGGCTGATCATTGAAATTGGTAGACAAAGCGATACACAAGAAGGATAAAGAGGAAATGGACCTATTCTATCGCTTAAAATGGGTGGTTGTTATAGACTAAGATAGAGCTTGATGCAAGAAACTTGAACCATAGGGTTTTTAGTTGGTTTCCGTTACTTACCTCTTCTGTCCATAACAATCATCTGCCACTACGAGAAGAGTCGGAAAGGGATTGTTTCTTTTCGAGTCTCGGTATGGACACTCCATGATCTGTTTCCGATTAACCATTTCACGCTACATCGGACTTTTTTATGGCGCGCTTTGTGCGCAGTTGTTGCTTTTAATTCCTAAAAATATGACTCTATTCGCTTGAAGCACTGTTAACAATAGTGAACCAACATAATGCCATTTTTGAGCCAAGAGCAGCTTCCACATGGAGCCCAAAAGCCATACCCTCCCATAAAGGTGCTCCAACTCGAGGAGATCAATATACAAGGGAGTTAGCATATCAAATCCTTTATAAATCCAATTTTCCGGATTAAATATGTTACAGGCAAACACCGATTTGCAGGTAAACCTAGGCGACCAAAGTACAGATTGAAGTAGACATTATTTCGGGAACACGTACAAAACTGAGAAAGGCTACAAGTAAAGGGGAAAATAGCATAGAAAATTGATGGTTGCACAAGTACTGTAAAAAATGTCATGAAAATGTTTAAAAAAGTAAAGGTGAAGACTATTTGACTACTTGTTGGTGCAGTTGGTACTAATGTGGCATTGACACCCCCCAAAAAATTAAGCGGTACCGTTATATTTGCGATAAAAATATGTTAAGTGGTACGGTGAAAGCGGTAAAAAACAAAATCGGGGTTTGCCTGAAACGGCGTTTGGCAAACCTAAGTTTGCTAAAATTTTCAGGCACACCCAGGTTTGCCTGATAATCAGGGTTTGTCGGTAACATATATAACACTCTTTTGATATCTAAGACGCTGCAACAGCATTTCATTCTTCTGGGTTGAGCGAAACTGAAATCGTTTGAAAATGCTGTGCTGTTGAGGTCTCTAATTTTGCCAATGAACTCAACCTTGTTAACTCTTGTGCGTCGGTCAAACCTGAAACTGAGCGAATACTTTTGACCTCAGCCTAGAGACGCAACTGTCCACTGAAAAGATGAGCTGAGTCATAAAGCTCAAAGAAAAGTTCAACGCGTAGCTCCGTTTTGCAGTGTGCGATGGTGCCACCTGATTTAAAAGCATAAACGGACACATTTAAATAAAAAGGAACTATATTCACAGCGACATGAGCCTTGTCATGCATGTATTCTTATAGTTGATAGGGCTCAAGTCAGAATGATTTAGCTGCTTTTAATTCAAGTAAGTCCAAATTTCCTATTCCTTTCATGAGTATAATCCTTGATATTTCGCTCACATTGTCAACAAGTTTGGGAAATTTCTCCATCTAAATCGTTTTGAGACTAATCGGTAAAAAGATGGTTGTCATGTTTCCTTCGAGAACTTTGGTAACTGATTGTTAAAATTGACAGGCAAGAAGATGGGCAAAGAAGACAAAGGCAAAATGGAGTAATCCTATTGATGGAAGCGGATGGTTGCAATGAACTTGAGAGGTAAGTAATATATTAAGTAACAGCAACCACGAGAGATCGTATGGTTAGTCCACTATTTTCCCTCCTGGTATCTAAGAACCAGGTTCAGGTTAGGAATCGTAACTTTTTAACAATCCGTCCACATCTATACACATCTTTAACCACGACGGAGTCAAATACAGGCTTACCTAGACTAATCTAGGCACTACCTCCTATAGTAATCATAAAAAGGCACCTGCTACAATGAGCGTGACGCACATTTACTAAAGACTTAAACGCATGGATAGAAAGAAAGGCAAATATTATACCACCTGATGACTATCCACGCTAATGTCATTTGTAATTCCATTATGACATTTTTGCCATACTATATACGTTTAAACACATGGGACCACACCTCCTGGCTATTACGCGACCCAACCCTCAAAGAGAGCTTCTTGGGATCCCCGTTCATATAGTTGGATATAGGGGGCTTGTGTAGGGACTATTTTCTATCGATAATCGCAAAAATCATGAAAATCAGCTCAGCAGTGTTTTAGAGCGAACCGTGACAAAAAAATGCACATTCTTATTTTTAAAATGACAGTTTTCTTAACTATACAACGTAATAAAAAACACCTAGGTCATAATTCCAAAATCTGAATACAGCGGGCTTAACCAAGGATTAGCACTTGTCGGTACCCTTAAAAATCATGGAAATTAGCCACGTAGATCGGTAGAATGAATACGTCCCAAAAGATGGAAATTTAGGGAGGTCAGAGAGCTTATAGTTATGATACTTTCAAACTTGGAGGGTTGGGCCGCATAGTGGCGAGGTGGCGTAGTCCCTTTGTAAATTTATAATGTGACAAAAATATCATAATGGAATTACAAACGACACACCAGTGTGGTTAGTTAGGTTGCAACATTTGCCATTTTTCTTATCCTGCGTTTAAGTCTTTTTTGGTGTGCACGGTCTGTGCATTTCCGCCGAAGTTAAAAGAGGAACAACTGGAGGAAATAGACTGATTGCTGCCTCGATTGGCAACTGTGAATCTTACATTTAAACGCATTAGGAAGGTTAATTACGATGATCTTTTCTATTGAATAGTATCTCGTTATTCACGGATGCACTGGCCGTTTTGAGGACGCTTAGTTTGGTGACCGGTGTGGTGTAGCAGAAGACGATGTCATTCTTCTTTTAACATCGAAGCATGCCAGTGTAAGAACCAAAAGATAACTTGATACCACAAATTTCTGTTTGTCATATTATTAATATTAATAAACACCTATACTAGAAATCGTGCGGTATTTTCTTCGTGTTTGAACCAAACCGCAACTACATAAATTGCTGTCTAATTCCCTGTTATGATTTACTTTTTCCAAGTAAATTGAACATTTTAAAATCTCGAGACCTTTCTATAAATATTTAAATACCCTGTTGGATCGTTGAATTGTTTCATATACGTAACGCAATGCTTTTTTTAAGGCAAATATAGTTTTCATTATTTGAAATTTTGATATTGTTTTCACTGCTGTCTTTTTTTATGTCAAAATTGTGTTCTCTTTTTCGCTGATATTCAATAAATTCACTGGGATATATCGTTCGCCAGGGCGTGCATATTTGTATCGTTATCGGATGCCTTTTATCCATCAATACTGCCGTGTTAATGAAAAAGGTCATATGAGCCTTCGGATGTTGACAAATTCACCCTAATAAAATATTAATTTTTGGGAAAAGTCATGAATATTGCACTTCGATTGACAAACTTTAGATCGAATTGTGAATGAATTTCTCAAAAATATTGGAGAAAAAATAGTCTCAACTTTTCAAAAAAATTCGCATTTTATGAAAGGAAATTTAGCAACGTCTGAAGACTCGTCCGGTGATCCTCTTTAGTACGGCATAACAGTATTTGCCAAGATGAAGGTTTATCAATCAAGGTCATTTTATGACGATCCAAAAGCAATTTTAAAATCGCATTGCATTTTGACCTCAACCAGAATCCAAGTCAAATAACCTCAAAATAGGTGCTTTACATTCACCTCACACCATCCTATCAGCCATAGTCAAAGGAAAAACTCACCGAGACTTCATTGTAGCCTGTGGGGTACGGACTCTTAGGATACGAGCCGCTAGAACCACTAGGATACGATCCGCTAGAACCACTAGGATACGAGCCGCTTGAACCGCTAGGATACGAGCCGCTAGAACTGCTAGGTCCCCTGGAATAGCCTCCCGTCGCGTACCCAGACGAGGCCAGCGACGGCGGCCTGGGCTTGAAAATGGCCGCCGTGATATCGGGCGAGGGCCTGGACTTGAAAGGGAACGGGCCTAAACTATTCCCGTACTTCTTGTACAGGTGTTCCCGCGAGTAGAGTATGGACTTGAAGGGTTTCCTCTTGTACGGCCTGTACGCCTGCGCGGCCTTGGGCAGCGTGCTGTACACCGGACTAGCTGTGTACGGAATGACTGGCTTGTACGTACTGACTGGGACATCGTATTGACCTAGATCTACGGCCGGCACGGGGGTTGCGTAGTGGTACCCTTCGCCCTCGTCCTTCGTCGCGGGGGACGGCGAGGGGGAGGGGTGTGGAGGGGGCGAGTAGCCGTCCTGACCCGATGGGGGGTAGGCGCTGTAGACGGGAGGCTCGGCGACGATCTGGCGGAAAAAGGTGACCAGGATGACGTAGAACCACTTCCACTGCACCTGAAACATGTGATGAGGCAATTAGAATTTACAAAATTAGAGTGAAATTGAGGAGCTGGGGACACATGGGAGAAAATCGCATATGAGAAAAATGCATCTTAAGTTTCCATCATTACTTTCCGATCACTGATGGTAACTTACATCGCAGCTTGGACTCCCGATTTCGAACGTAAGTCACAGTCAATGGCCAAAGAATGATGATGGAAACTTCAAATGCATTTTTCTCAAATGCGATTTTTCGCTATGTGCCCTTTTTCCGGAAAGCTACTCAAATATTGTGACCGTTCATGAAATACGTAACGCTTTATTTGATTTTTTAACCCCTCTACCTCCTCTTTCGTAACGCTTTTGTGGCGGAAGTCACTGTCCCTTAATACGAAAAAAAAAACAGAACATTTTTTGGCAACATGTAGAATATTAGAATACTCTTTAGGAGTAAACATAGACGAGCTGTAGAAATAGTTTGGAAAAAATTCCAAAATACCGAGAACAATAATTTTAACAAAAGCTTTAGAGATATTTCATTTCTTAAAGCGTAGATCGTGGTGAATATCTACCCTTCAAATCAATGCCATTATATGGAGCCCCCCCCCCCCCCCCCCCCCCCCCCCCNACTTTCCAATTTTTTTTCATAACGATGTGGCATATGAGCGCGGGTCGAAGCGGGCGATTTTGACCGTTTACGACTTGATTGTCGGTGCTAGTCAGAATCAGAACGCGAGTCCGGCACTTTTTTAGGCCCCCCTCCCCCTCCCTCCGTGACGATGACGTGTCGTGGGAGGAGGGGGGAGGGAAGATGAGTCCGCGTCACGTTCGGGCGTTGCGCAAGACGTAAAGTGATATGCATCGCGAGTAATTAATTATCGTTTAAGGTGGTGGAATGAGGATGTTCCTGGGCACACCGTTGCAGCAATCCAGTGGACGTCTTCGCGTAGTCGTATGGATCTATGCATTGTTGCAGCGGGGAGGGGAGGGGGGAGAGTTAAGAGAGTAAAGGGAGAATGACAAAAAAGGAGAGGGATCATAAGAGTAGGAAGAGAAGGAGAAAATAGAAAGAAGATAAGAAGATAAGAGAAAGAAGATAAGAAGAGAAGAGAAAAAAGAACAGGAAGAAAAAAAAGAAGAAAGGAGGAGAGAAGAAGAGAAGAAAAGAGGAGAGAAAAAGGGAAGAAAAATTTCAATTAGCATACGTAAAAAAAATTAAATTTTTCTTAAAAAGTCATGATTCAAATAATGAAGTCGATCAAAATATTGAACCTAAAACCTATTTAACCTACCAACCTTAAGACCTATTTAAATATCGAACCTATTCATGCTGATGCATACATAAAACGTCCAAATTCTCTCGTGCCTATCCCTGAAATACACACATCGCATAACCGATCAATGTGCCGTGCGTGTGAACTTTGCGATGTAATCGATACATCGACGAAGCTATTATCTCCCAAATCGACAGAACACAAGTGCAAATTGTCCCGTTTGTGCTTTTGGGCTATCGAATCCGGAGGTTTGTGCTTATGGGCTGCACCGATCACAATGTGCGTGCTTTACAACGTTTCCTTATTTTTCGATGCAGGTGGTCTGTCGACAGCTCCTTCAAAATGCAATGACGCAACTGGGAACGGTCACGAGCCGCCAGAACGGCTGAGCGCGAGTTACGAGTTGGTAGCCTTTTCGCAGCTTTTAATATATCAATTACTCCGACAGTAAGCAGCGCTCGCCGTCAATTCGCAGTTTGACAATTACATCACTGAACGGTCAATTAACATTCTTCACGCGGCAGGAAGCCGGGCGCTGAGCAAAAAGCTCGTGTCTTGTCGGATTTTATTGGAGCGCCGTCCCCAGATCGCTCATCGGCTCCTCTGCCTCGGACATTGACGCATTGCCACATTGGAAGCGTTGACGATAGGGAAAGGGACCTACCTTGGCTAAGTTGTGCGTTTCTTGATTCAGCTCTATATTGTGTTACTGCCGTGCAACACAAAAATGCCGTAAACGCCAGTTTACATTTTTCGGAAACAATGTACGATCGCAAAAAAATTCTTGCACCTTAGGACAATTTTTTTACAGAATTCTTTTGTAAATACTATCAATAATTTAACCTGAAATGTGAGGTGCATTCTACCGTGCTAAGCAAGAACGCCGTAAATCCATCAAAATTTTCCCTCGTTTTTTGGAACTTAACACTACATAAAATAAAAACTGATTTACCCATACACCTCAAATTTTCAGGTTAAGTTATTCACAGTATTTGCGAAAGAACTCTGTAAAAACATTGTCCCAAGGTACACAAGTTTTTCTGCTATGATACATTGTTTCCAAAAAATGTAAAATGGCGTTTACGGCGTTTTTGCGTTGCAGGGCAGCATTGTTAAAACAGTTGTTATTTCATAAAGTGTTGAGTTCCAAAAAACGAGGGTAAATCTTGATGGATTTATGGCGTTCGTGCTTAGAACGGTAGAGTAGGGAGCGGATTTTTCTTTTTTTTTTTTTTATTGGCACGCTATCAAAAATGTAACGAGGTCTAACGAACTATACCGCCTAGCTGACAATATTGGCAAAAATGAGCTAGCCTCATTTTACAATATAAGATAAACACGCCGATGATTTTAGTTTTTTCCAATTCTTTTTGGAGGTGCTTCTATGACGGGATAATGTATGAAAAAATTATAAATCTAACCTTAAAATTACAAAAATGCTGGAGTTTTCCATTCGTTCTACCAAACCGTCAGTTTGCAGATAGGCGGTATTGTTTGTTAGCTATCGAGATGCAACATTAAAAACTAAGTCTTACAAACCGAAAAGAAAATGTTCGAATATTTTGAGCCCCGAGCTTTTTCGATAGAATGCAAAAATCGGGCTTTTCAGTACGATTTTCGGCAAAATTACGGTCAAAAATTGATTCTACGGGAAACACTAGACGAGTTTTAAAAATAGTTAAGCTATGTTTAATAGGCAAAAATATCGGAAAAGTCGCGAAATCAGAAGCGAAACGCTTCGTGGCCGACTCCTCCCATAGATCAATCCCCCGTTCCCCGCGAATGAAGCTGTGAGTGCCTGGACGGTCAAAACGCCTTCACTCACGTGCGTATGCAACACGGACATCCATGGAGCCCGAATAGTTGCATCCATCAGGAGTTAAAATGGAAATCGTGTAGTGTTTGTTGCATTCGACACTTATGAAAGGCGCTTTGCTTGTTTCTCTCACTCCGTGACTTAATTCCAACGTTGCCTATTGTGCCGATGAAGTGAACATTATTGATATTATTTTATTATTGATTATCATCGCGACAATGTCAATTTTCCGAATAATGCTTTAAAAATTTTCTATACATAAGAACGTTGCCGTCCATAAATGTGGGCTTTGGCCCTGGCCTTCTCTGGTGTGCGGACAAAGCGTTTAAGGGTCATCTAAGGGAACTTTTGAGCGTGTGTCTCAACACGTTTGTATTTTTTTCGCCGAAGAGTCAAACAAATGTGCAATCAGAAATGTATAAATCAACCTACAACTAATTTAGAGTCCGGAGCGGCATGGTTTCCAGCTTGTGGAAAGTATGTCTTTCGTTACTGATTACTACAGGAACATCGGAGCACTAGTGGACTGAGCTCATGAAGCAGTAAGTGGTGCATGGATACTCAAAACGCCTTCACACCCGTGTGTATGCAACACAGACATCTACGGAGGCCGAATAGTTGCATCCAAGAGTCAACAAATCCATGGTAAATATTTAAAGGGAGTTGGCCTAAGACTCTCGTATAAAATCTTAGGTGAGGCGTTAACAAAAGTCAAGTATATTTCACTCATCAAGTTTTTCTTTATTAAGGTATTTGTGTCGTCAAACAACCCTCGCAAAAATATTCACTAAGTTATGCAGCCAGGACTGAGGCATCTCACCCTAAAAAGTAGGATCGGTCGAAAATGTGAACCACTTATAGAAACCGTTAGGAAATTTCATGGATTCCACGCATCTCTATTGCATTGTTTAATTGAGAATATCATTTTATTTTTTCGTAGAGAAACGAGCTAACGCCATAGCCTGAAAATACAGAACATCTAACAGAGAAGAAAAATAAAGGAAGTCTTCAAGAAATGGAGAATTTGCACGCAATCATTTTATTCCTGAATCTGAGAGTGCTTTAAGAGTTGATTTCGCCGTATTTTTATATATTTTCTTTGATATGGGCTATAAAAATGTATTCAAAAGTGAGGAAACGCACCACCTAGTGACGTCATTCGGAAGAATTTCCTATGTGTTTTGGCAAGTTTGATCATTTTACCTCCTCCAAACGTTGTTTCAATTTAAGAGCCACGGGAATTCTCGTCTCCGGTTCAATCTGTAGTTTCCACTTAAATACGAAATTCATAAAAGTTCAGAAATCTGCGAATTTTCCATTTTGTTCACTGGAAAAAAAACACATTGGATCTAGAGTCAAGACTCTTGAAAACACGGACAAGAAAAAGGACTCTTGATTCAATCAGATTTAAGCTTAAATCAAAATGAAATCCGCCCAAATTAAGAGGCTTGGTTCTTTATTTAAGCTTAAATCTGATTAAATCAAGAATATTTTTTTCTTGTCGATGTTTTTAAGAGTCTGGACTCCAGATCCAATGTGTTTTTTTTCCAGTGTTGTCTATTTTTCCGAAGACCCTAGAGTATGACAGGAAGTCCGCGTCCATGACGAACGAAGATATGTGGTCTCGCACGTTGAGCTTTGATACTCGTATTTTATTTGTGTAAGGATACGTTTTTTCGCATTGTATCGATCGATTTGTGTTAAGAGCTCACATGCATTTTCCCATTTTAAAACCGCGTTTTGTCGGCAACTCTTCCCACCGCGATACCCTTCAATTTGCTCCCCAATCGGCGTCCAGATCGCTCTCCTCTCCATTGTGACGCAAAGCACCCATCCCGGGAGATTTGGTAATTTTTCTGAGGCGTCCGATCCCGCAGGATCAGTGGCGTGGCGTGAATTGCGATGTATCGATCGTTCTGCCATTT